GCTCAGAATTTAAATTTAAAAGAAAAAGAACAATAAGACATTATTAACTCTCTTTACTATAAAACGGTATCTGGTGCAGGGCTTTAAAAAAAAAAAAAATGGCTCCACCATGGCATTTTTGATCCCTCAGGTGTGATAAGGCCTAGAATTTACATTTCTGGCAAGTGCTCAGAGGATGTCGCTGCTGCACTTTGAGAACCACCATGCGGAAGCATAGGACTTCCTCCCCCGTCTCTTTTCCTCCTTTGATCTTCCCTCCCACCTCATTCTCTTCCAAATCAATCTTCTCTTCTTTGATTCCTTTGCCCTTTCTCCTTTTTTCCTCTTCTCTTTTCCGCCCTCCCTTCCAAGGTGCTATTTGAGGCTTCCAGCAAGAACATGTTTACAAGGACTTGTTTTGATTATTCATCCACATAACAATATTTACTGAGCAGGTACAAAGATTCCTTCCTGCCTCCCTTCCTTTCTTCATTCATCCATTCTTTCAACAAATATTTGATGAAACTCTTTTATGCCAAGCTCTATGCAAGGAGAACAAGATTGCCCTAAGAGAGTTCTCCATATGCTTGGGAAAGGCAGGCAGTCAGAAGCATATAAGGCATTATATTATTACCAGGTGTCATTAATGCTCTGAATTAAACAAATGGATTGCTGAGATGAATAATAATAAAAGGACACTTTTTCCTTGTGTGGTCAGAAAGGGTCTGGCCCCACTGGGGTGTGTTGAAGCTGAGACCTTAAAGACTGAGAGGAAGATAACCAAGCAGAGAATCCAGGGAGGAGTGGTCCAAGAAGATGAAAAGGCAGGTATAAAGTCCCTGAGGCAGGAAAAGGTCAGCTCTCTGTTGGGGTGTCTCCAAACCCCAAGCACACGGTAGGTTCTCAGTCAATATTTGCTGAACGAATGAGTAAATGAATTATCAGACCCAGGCCCCTGGAGCAAGGAGGCAAGAAGAGAGGCCAGGTCATGAATGGCTCTTCAGGTTATGGGTGAGGAGTTTGGATTAACCAATAACTTGAGCAATCTACTCTGCCCTCCCCTCCTCCCCGCAACCTTTCCACACCCACCTCATAACCTCATCTACAGTAGCAGTTCTCAAAGTGTGGTCCCTGGACCCCTGATGACCGGTTGTTTCTCATTCAACATCTGTGTTTATAAGCTGACAAGAGCCGTGCTCTCATCCATGAATTCATAATTTATGACTATGTAAATTATAACAATTAATTGCTATGACAATTTGTTTAAAAGGCAACTGTTTGTCCACTCACATCTAATCAGAAGCAGCCCCACCCTTCCCATGCGGTCTGGGACACGTTTCCAAGTGGCAAAGAGAAGTGGTCCCAAATTCCTGGAATGCAGTAACTTCCAAAGCATATGCAGTGTCATGATGCAGGATAAATAGGTTCAAAAGAAGTTGAGGAATTCCAAATAAAAATGAGAACAAAGAAGAAGAATGAATCAATTTATTTATACTTTGTAAAGTAGTTTCAAATAAACTCCTCATAGAAAAAAAAACAGTATCTGGCAACTTTCCCCAGTCCCAAACTGCCTTGAATCCATTACAGTTCTCTTTAATTTCTCCTATTAATATAACTGTTTTCTAAAAAGAAAAATGTAATCAGTAAAAGCCTAAGTTTAAACTTTTCCTCATTGTTTCACAATATGCTAATCCTTATGGGCTATTTAGGATCCACTCACTTTGGTGGGAACTCTCCTGTAAGCCTTAAGATTCTCCAGGAAAAAGAACTCGGGGTTATATGACTTTGGAAAAGAAATGTCTATGACCACTACTGGGCCTTTGCTTCACGCATTGCTATGATTCTTCATATACATCAATAGTAAAATAAATGGCAACACATGATTCTAAATATATGTTTCTCTGATACAAAAATAAAAGGACCCTATTTAAAAAACTTCTTTTCTTAATTCCTATTTCCAAGGGCATTATTAGCAGATCACTGCTAATAACCTAGAATTTGGAAACATCTAAACTGTATTGTAAGGATTTTTTGTTATCCCCTTGCTTGATTAGTCCTTCAAATTTTGCCTTTTTTGATGCATTTGCCTGCACCAAAGGAAGGATTATAGGAAGAATGTTAGACAGTATGTTGAAAATGAAATACAGTTTTTAGATTAACTTATAGGGTAGGGTAGGTTGTGGCATGCAGGGTTTAAAAAGAAAACAAAAAGATAGTGGGCAAAACTTGGAGGGGATAGGATTTATTGAAGATTTGGGCAAAGGGCAGAAAATAGTATTTAGTATATTTGGGGGAAATCTCAAATCTGCGGGGCAATTTATGAGAAAATTCTATAAACCTCAATGGAAAAGACAAAGCAAGAGAGAAACTGCAGAAGTTAGAAAAGTGCAGCCTACGTGATGGTTGAATTTAAAAGAGAGGGGAAAAAATGTGATGGGGATGCAATCTATTACCAGGTAAGCCAACACCTGGACAGCACATAAGCGTTTACAAAAGGTGCTTTCACATCTGTGACCTTATTTATTCTTCATAACAGCTCTGGGAAGTATTTAGAGTGGTATAATTCCAGTTTGACAGACAAGGAAGCCACACTGTTTTCTGAATACAGCAAGAAAAGAGAAAGGTAATGAATGTTGAGAAGGAACGAAGCTGCAAAAAGACCCCTTTAAGGGCTGAAGGCAGCCTGTCTGTAACAGAGAGGAGGGGACCACCTCTGATGCTGCAGAGACGTGGGAGGCTGTGAAAAGCCATTGAACGTGGGGGCAAAATACAGAGGGCGAGAAAGGCTCTCTTGGAAGGCAAGTCATCTGGGCAGAGAAACAGGAAAGATTCTGTCTTCCCAGAAATACACGCAGTTCAGGTTTGCCCTTTGAGCGTTTGCCAGCTTGAAAAGGAGACTTGAGATCTCTGGTCTGGCTGCAGATTTAAAGCCCATAGAATCTCTGAAGGGGTAGCAATTTCATTTTTTCATTCAAAGGTTTCTTAAAAACATGTTTTCTGAAAGAATCGAAACAATTTTCACTTTTTTCTGCTTATCCTCAAAGTAGATACAGTTGATACAGAAGTCGATACTCTAGCTTTCTGTAGAATCTGCCTACCTGAGAAAGAAGGGAATATGACATTCTTCTTATTGATTTAGCTCCAGAGTATTTGGTTTTGAAAATTAAACTGGGAAATCTCATCTCTTCTGGCGGTTGTCAGAGAAGGCACCCAAGAAAAGCAACAGAGCATTATAAAAGTTGTTGCCATATTTTGCTTGTATCACCTGTGTACAATTAAACATTTTTGCTCTTTGGTTATTAGAAACTCTTTTAAAATCCATTTTCACATACATGATGATTCGGATGCCGAGGCAGTTGGGCAGTTGCTAAAAAGCTATAGTTAGTGCTGGAAACTGAGTCAATTCCAGTTTTTGTAATACGTGTGGGAACTGAGCCATCAATAGTGTTTTCCTCAAAGGAAGAGTTTTACTGCTTTCTTATATTGCTCGGACAATTACGGATGAAATGGTATTAACTACTGGATGGTCAGTGGTGAAACTGCTTTGTAGTTTGCTCTGTGCGTTGAACAACGGGCGGTGATTACATTTGTTCTTGGTCAGCAGCATTTGCAGAAGATTTAGGGAGGACACCGACCTCTCTACAAGAGAAAGGGGAAAGTGAATGGCAGAGAAAGAGAAAGGTCAAGTTGACAATGGACAAGATCCTTTGGGGGTCTTTTTCTCTTGCTGGTGTCAGGGGGATGTGCATTGGGACAAATGACTGCTTTGAGGTGAGAAGGGCAAAAGCACTCTAATAAAAGGCTTCAGGAAGGAGTGCAGGCGACCTAGGGAAATCTGCTGTGGTCAAGTTTAATCCTGGGAAAAGAGGCCCCGGAGAAAGCAGATGAGGAAGATAGGAAGGAAGATAGGGAGGGGGAGGCGCTGGGTGTGGAGGGAGGAAGGGGGTGGGCGGCCTGGAAAGTGAGAGGGAGCAAGTACTGACTGTGGCTAGGACGGCGGGGAGGAGGACCACCGAGTGGGAAGAAGTGCAAGTCGCGGGAGCGGAGGAGGAGGAGGAGGAGGAGGCAGAGCTCGGTGGGCCCGGACGGGACCCCCGGCCAGGGGGGCGGCGGCGCCGGGGCAGCGGGGGCAGCGCGGCCCGCCGCGGGCCCCCGTGGCAGCGCGGCCCGCCGCGGGCCCCCGTGGCAGCCTCAGGCGTTGGCTCCTCGGGGCTCCCTCCCTCGCCGGCGCATTGTTCCTTTGCCGGGAGACGAGGAAATTGCCTTTTGATTGCGGAAGTCCGCGGCCGGGGCCCGGGGCGAGGCAGCGCGGGTCAGCATGGCAGCGTGGGAAGGGCGGCGCGCTGCCTGCCCCCGCCGCCTCTCGCGTCCGCAGCCCGCCCGGGGCGGCAGCAGCAGCGGCCCCTGCGCGTCGCCAGCCCGGAGGGAAGCGCTGTGCGCCCGCGGGGCGCGCTGAGCGCGCGCAACAGGTGCCCCCCGCCCCGCGCCGGCCGTCGGGGCCGCCGGGCGCCCCTGCCCCTCTGCTGAGTCGGGCTGGTGAGCGCTGAGCGCGATGCTGAGCCATGGAGCGGGGCTGGCCTTGTGCACCGCGCTGAGCCTGCTGCAGGTGAGTGGCCCGAGGGAGGTGGCGGGCCGACGCGCCCCTCCCTGCTGACGACCAAACTCCCAGTCGGCCGTCGGGCCGCCTGGGTCGTGCTTTGCAGGGGGAGATGGCCGAATTTCTTCCTCTCCCTGGGGGAGAGAGGTCCTCTCGTGACCCTCCGGCCAGACTGACAGCTCATCCGACTGTCCGAGGCACCGAGCCGCCCTCCTTCTCCAAGCCGCTCCCCAGAAAGAGCAGGCCGGGGAGAGAGTTGCCACCCACCTCCTCCGCGGGTCTTTCCTCGGGCTGGAGGGCAAAGGGCTGGGCTGAGGCTGGGGCTGGGGGCTGAGGGCTGAGGAGGCGGCTTGGGGACCTTGCTGTGGACAAGTCCCGGGACGGTCTAGACGGCGGGCTTCAGCTGCTTCTGGTTCCTTTGCAGACTGGACTGGGGGAGCCAGTGAGATGTAACTTCACCCTGACGGAGTCCAAGGTCTCCAGCCGGTCCGCGTCTCTCCAGTGGAGAACTCTGGGGTCACCCTGTAACTTCAGCCTCATCTATAGCAGTGACACGTCAGGGGTCGCATGGTGCCACCCCACGCGGATAGACAACACCACCTATGGATGCTACCCCAAGGATCTGCAGGCGGGAACCACCTATAACTTCAGGATTGTGTCTCTGGATGGAGAAGAGAGAACTGTGGTCTTGCAAACAGGTAAAGGGTGACAGGTGCAGTTGGACGGCCAGGCCACTCTGGGCTGAGCCCTGCCTTTTCAAGCTGGTGTTTCATTTGAGCTCCAGGCATGCAGAAAATAAAGGTAAAAATACCTGTGAAGATAAATATTGACCAAGATTTCTAGTTTCCTCAGATCTGGCCAGAAGCAGCTTGGTTGACTTTTAGAGATTTCCTTAGTGCTGAAGACAGCGGACTAGCTCTTTGAAGGGGGAGTGCAGCAGAGAGGAGCTGTGGGCTGTGGAGGGAGTTTGTTAAATTTGCTGAAACGGTGTGGTTTGAGCTTCCATCACATTAAACTGTCAAGCCCTGGAATAATTTTAAGCAAATGTTTTTAGAATAAATAATGGAAGTGCAACGATTAGGGATATGCCTTTCCTCAACTTAGTTTTATTTTTGGAACCAGGACATAAAATCTTCAGGAATAGAATAGAGCCATTCATAGGGGAAGATTCGAAAAGTCCTTTCAAATGAGGGCACGAAAATTAATTTGTATAACTTGAATAACTAAAACAGCGTAGTATCAGAGACGGTCCTTTGGTTACTCTGAACTTCAAGTCACTCACTTTCTTTACAGTTTTGGTAAACCCTTCCATGTGTATATAGGAAGAGTTTGTCTTTCCTGCGTCAGTTTTCTTGTCTGTAAAATAAGAGTGTTAGACTTGGCTGTTGAGGTCCAAGTTCTTACCAAGTGCCAATGACCTGGGTAGGGGGCTGTCATACTCTAACCTCGTTATTCCTGTCAGCTACCCATTACATGTGCTCTAAATTCTCTAACAACTTTGATGTTTTGTGACTTCATTAGTCTTCCTTTTAACATTGTCTTTACTTGTTGCAATAGTGAAACTTCACTTCTATTCAGAAAGTCAAATTTCACAGAAAAATTCTGGAAGTCAAATTTTAGAAATGTGTTGTCCTTACTACTCTTTCATGTTCAACCTGAACAAAGATGACTTCCTTAGCTATCGGTCTTTAAAAAGGTGTGAGAACTTTCAGTTCTCAAGGCAGTTACAGCAGGGTCAGGAAATGTAGCTGGGTTCATGTAGTAAGTCAATCAAATAGTCATTCTCTTCTTTTTTCGGAGAAAAATTAAGAATGTCAATTACATCACTTGGCTTACTTCAGATGAAACTTTGAGATAATTTCTGAGATTTGCAGGAACTTAAATTGAAAGGAAACAGCACTCATGAAGAATTTGGTTATGTTTTTATATGGAATCAAAGAGAGACTGAAATCAACCACATAATTAGAACATTTTACAGAAGTTGAAGTGGTTATGTTTTTAGTCATGAAGCTGCTGGTCTCTTGGTATGGGAGGATAGTTTTGTGAACACTCAGATTGCTAATGCTGTGAAATTTATGACATAGAACTTCCAGATGTGTTCATTGCATTTGTTAGGTGTCTGTTGAATGGGGCAGAACTATTTTTAAAAATAGGAAAAAGACTCACTGTGGGTGTTACTAGTTAGAATGCGCTCCAAGTCTAATTATGCTTGTAGGTGTTCCAAGTCCAAAGACATTTGTGAAATGTAAGAAATATTTGCATTTTATTGACTATGTTGAGTTAAAAAAAGACTTCATCAGCATTCAGGTTTTCATCATTTTTCTTAAAGACTTACTTTTTACAGTATCACAAATATACTTTTCACCACAAATTCTATGAGCTCCATGATAAATGTGAAGGATGAAATTTGCAGGTGATGGTTGTATAATGATATTTTTTCCCCACACTTATTTGTATGATGGTGTAATGCCTAGGATCCTCTACATTTTAAAAATAATTTTATTTAAATACACATTTTTATTTTATTTATTTATTTTTAATGTTTTACTTTTTTTTTTAAAGATTTTATTTATTTGACAGAGAGAGACACAGAACCCAATGCGGGGCTCGATCCCAGGACGCTGGGATCAGGGCCTGAGCTGAAGGCAGACACTTAACGACTGAGCCACCCAGGGACCCCTAAATAAACATTTTTTAATTAAGATATTTTAAAAATGTTTCAGGAAGGATTTTTTGGGTTGGTTGTTATTTGTTTTTTTGTCATTAGTGCTTTCTATAATTTGAGGACATAAGTGAATTTTTCATGTAGTTGAGAGAAAGTACTGGTATTTCTCTAAATTTTTAGGCTACAAAGGTGAACTCTACAAATCACGTTTTACACTTGGTAAAGTAGGACCAACTAGTAGTATAATATTAAGTCTGAGGTATACCTTCAAACAAAAGAAGTTATTCAAAATGTGCTTTACTACTCCATTTTGCCTGTCTTGTCAGTCTAGAATAAAAGAGAATGAGAGCAAGACATGATTTGACTAGAGATACAACAGTTGCTTAGATTATCTCTGTATCATTCCAAGTGTGATTTGTCTGGTTGTTCTTCCTGATAAACTGTCTAAAACAGTTCACTTATTGTCATGTAGACGTGGCCTTAAAGATTAAAAAAAATTTGAACTACATGGGAACTACATGGGAACTTATTTTAGCAACAATCAGTTTTCACTCCAGATTTTAAGTCAGAATTGAAAAAACATACATGGATTCAGCAAACATTCACCAAGCACGGATACTGCAGGGAATTATGCCAAGTGGTGACTGGTGTGCTTGTAAGGATGATGACCAAAACATGGTCCCTGTCCTTGCGGTCTGTGCAGAGGTGAGGGGAGGTCATGATGAAGGCGGGGACAGAACTTTCGCACTTCTTTCCTGAATGAAGACCTCGCTCTGCCTCGTGTTTGCCACGCTGCCATCACCCCAGAGAAGGCGAGGCAGTTCTCAGGTGTCTTCAGTCATTAAACCGGTTGATGCAACAACCATGATAAGTTGAAAGCCAAATTATTTAGTTGTGAACAAAAATAATTTGGAAGTCAAATTATCTAGTCGTGAATTCATTGGAAATCAACTAATGAAGACAATATTGAAGAACTCCAAAACTTTTGTATCACTGTGTCCTCAGAGTCTAAGCAGAGGGCTGCAAACTGGTAGCCCCTAGGGGTGTCTAGCTAGGTGTCTAAATAATAATATGTTTTGTTTGGCTCACGTAATGTTTGTGAAAAATCCAGATTATTTTTACCAGCATTAAAAATGGAAAATTCACATAAGTGCCAGATTTCTGGGTTCCCCTAAAATATTGGAAGATTTGACAAAGCTGGACCACTCTGCCTAGAATTCTCTAGAGCTAAGTTGTAGTTTCTCTCCGTTTAGATACCAATTCACTGGAATCCCCCTGGACCACTTCATTTATTTCCGTACTTGAATGCATCCTAAAGGCACTTGAGTTTGTTTAAATGAAACTTTCGAGTTTTTGTTTAGAACTTTTGGGAGGTTTTATCTTCCCACAAGTAAAAAGTAGTTTTTCAATATCTAAAATGGCATCTAGCACATGGTATTCAATAAATATTGATCACATGGATGGATAGATGGATGAATGAATGGATAGATGAATGGGTGGATGGATAGATAGATAGATAGATAGATAGATAGATAGACAGATAGATATGAATGAATAAAGTGAACATTTCAGTGGGAGGATGTATGTATTCTAAGAATATGATCTATTCTCCTTGGGTTATAGGTAAGTTACAGAACCCAGGGAAGTAGTCTGGTAGTAAAGAACTTCACTTATGGGAAGACTATCTTAATAGCATATGCCTTCTTGTTAGTCAGTTTCAGCCACTTAATAATCAGCCTAGAACAAAGGGTGAAAAAAATTAGCTCTTTTAATATGGCTAATTCCTTCGTCTTTAATTAAAAAAAAAAAAACAAAACACTTTAGGAGCATTAATTACCAAGTCACCATATCAGCTCTTATTTACACTTCAAAATGTTACTTATTGTATTAGTTTACTAGGGCTTCCATGACAAAATACCAGACCAAGTGACTTAAATAACAGAAATTTATTTTCTCACAATTCTGGAGGCTAGAAGTCCCAGAGCAAGGCATCAGCCGCTTTTTTCCTGTGGATTCTCTAATTGGCTTGCAGGTGGCTGCCTTTTTGCTATATCCTCACATGCTCATCCCCCTGTCTATGCTGTCTGTGTTCTAGAAGGACAGCAGTCATGTTGGGTTAAGGCCCACCCTAAAAATGTCAGTTTAACTTCATTCCCTCTTTAAAGGCCTTATCTCCAAATACAGTCCCATTCTGAGGTACTGGGGGTTGAGGGCTTCAATATATGAATTTTAGAGGGACACCATTGAGCCCATACACTTACAGAACTTTAAACATAAGCCACTACTTCCCAATAATGTCTGTAAGCTACTTGCATCAAAATCTTTGGCAAAATATCTTATAAAAGCATATATTATTGGCTTCTACCCCACATGTAATGAATTTAGAAGAAGTGGAGGCTGGGATATCTGATTTTAAACAAATATCACAGTGAATCAATGCACAGTGAAGTTTAAGAGCTATTGACATGGTTTTTCTATTATTCATTGGCATTAAGATTCTGGTAGCATTCTTCTTTATGCATGGCTAAATCTATAATACTGAAGAATATTATCTTAACCAGGAAGAAACTATACTCTAATATTTGTCTTGTGCTTTTATAGTATCTAAAATACTTCCACCTACTTTATTTAGTAGGTAAGAGTATAAAATATATATTATATTGACCATATATTGTTTAATTTTATTTTTAGGGAGTATTGTGAAGGGGCAGGTTGCATAAAGATCGAGAGCTTGGTTCTAGAAGCAGCCTTCTCCATCACTCACTAGCCAAGTTGACTCAAGCAAGTTACTAACCTCTCCAGGCCTGTTTCCTAATTTATAAAATGGGGATGATAATAAATATAATGCCTACTTCATAGGGCCATTTTGAGATTTTTATTTGGGTCATACATAAATTCTAGAATAGTGTTTGTCACATACCATGTGCATAGTTAAGTTTACTATTATTACTTTCAGGTTGGAGATAAGATTGATATTCATGAGAATTAACTAATCACAAATCACGCAGCTAGTATATAATTGAACCAGGACTT